CTCAACGGAGGGCTGCGGAGGTCGGCAGCGCCTGCGGCCCCCGCCAGGTAGCGGGGTGAAGGAGGCGCAGGGAGGTCGCCTCAGGGGGTTGGAGGGTGCACCGCCAGGCCCTGGGCTTGGAGGAGGTGGGGCTGTACAGTTGGCTTGAAAGAGTACAGGGACTGAGTTTGTGGCATTGGGGGTGCAGTTTGTAAACAGTAGGAGGAATTAGGCTGTGCAGGAAGAAGGGTTGGAGGGCAGCTGGACGCGCTTAGTTTGGAGGTGGAGGAGGAGACGCGGTCCGCCAGGTGGGGGGCTGGGTGGTGGTGGAGGAGGCGTGGAAGGTGTTCGGAGTTCGGGGTGGGGAGGAGAAGCGGGAGATGGAGCCTCGGGGGGGTGGGGCATGCCGAGAAAGGAGTTCCGCCTGCTCTGTGGGGTGCGCCCCCTGGGCGCGAGGGAGGGGGTAGTACCAGCCCGTGGAGGGGGATGGGGATGGAGGAATGCCTTCCGGGAGGATGAACGCCTGCAACCTGCAGGCTATAGGGGCGCATCGGATTTTCGGAGGAAGTTACGCCTTCAGAGCTGGGATAGTGAGTTGGAGGTCCAGTAGTCGTTCGGGGAACACGTTCGATAAGAGCCTTGGACGCCTAGGCCCTATGAGGGCGGTAGGCCCTCTGCCTGGTGTGTGGGCTGTGAGGGAGGTGGGTGCTGGTGGGTGGACCCCGAGTTTAGAGCGCGCGCGCGGCGGTGGGGGGGGGGTGTCAACTCCGGGACCTAGAGGCTTGATTGGCCCGAGTGAGGATTGCAGGGGCGGGGAAGCAGAAAGTTCTGGGTTTTAGCTGGGTTATCCCTTAGGTATACAGTATATGCACCAAAATAGATGGAAAATTTAGAAGCTATGTTAATTTTGACACACGTGGAAGTATTGTGTCGAGTTGAAGAAAATGTTAATTTAAGAAGTAGTGCATCTTTTGTTGACAATTCCAGGAGAGAATGGGGTACCGTAGTTTTTTGGGATTGAGAGTGGGCATCTAAAGGACTTGATCTGACTCTGGGCGGGGTGTATGGACACGATTATGGGGCAGCCTGTCCGGAGGTGCCCTCCTCGCTTTCTCGACTGTTCGGTGCTGTTCCAGGGCTTAGCTGCCCTTTGTCGGAGCAGCGGGCGACATTTTGAAAAGCTCGCACTCACTGTATCCCAAGTGTTGTATTAGGCATAAAGTGTAATGGTAGTCATCTGAAAGGATGAAGAAATAGTTGCCGAAAAACTGAAGAACTTGTTCAAGATCGGAGAGTTGGTTCTTGGTTCTGAGTAGTTGATCTCGAACGTCCAGCGTTTTGCGTGTCCTACGGATTTTTCAAAGTCCAAGTGTAATTAGTGTTACCCTCCTTTAAGCGACTCTTTCAGGCAGTCTAACGATGTAGTTGTGTGAAAAGTAGCAGGATATGGCACCCCAGAATTTGCTTCTGGCATATAGATTATTTAGAGCTGATTATTTTTGAGAACAGCGGACGCAGGAGAAGCTCTGAAAACTGTAGACGTAGTTCTTCTCTAAGGGTAATTTAAATTTAAAAAGGAAATCTCCATTTGTAAGGGTGTCTCTGTACTAGGAAGAGAAGGATGACTAAATCAGGAGAAACTTTAATAATGGAGACGGCACTGACTTAAATCTGCATAACAACCTTACACTTGTTTTTTGTTTTCCTGGTAGCCTCCCTTATCTGTCCTTGCCTCCTCCCCCATCTTTCTTTTGTCTTTAGCTGCAGACCATATTTAAGGTGGCTACTTGGGCCATCTCTGGCGGTTACTCAGTTTTCCTTGGTATTTCCCTTGTGTACGGGAGGTATATATGTTAATAAACTTTTATTTATCTTTCTCTTGTTAATCTGTCTTTTATTACAGGGGCTCTCAGCCAAAAACTCAGAAGGGTAGAGGGAAAAATATTTTTCCTTTCGTACTTGTGCATCCTCCGTAACAGACTGTTTTTCATGGTGAGATGCACGATGTGTTATGTTTACTTGAACATGAATTTGATTATTCCTGTATCCATTCTAAATAGACAGAAGTATTCATTGTATGGTTGTGCTTTATGTATTGAATAGCATATTGCTATTGTCTTTTGAGGTCTGAATTTAGGAGACTTGTAAAACCATAACATTTTTTACACTTGACCTCCTGCTATGGAGACTGTTTACAGTGTTTAAGAAAGATGGGCATTTGAGACTAGACTTATAAACAAACTTCATCCAGTATATAGATTTGGTCTTCATTCAGCTAATGTTACTGTACCTACTCTGGCAGTCGCAGTATTAGGCATTGTGGATCCTGGATGTAATAGTGAACAAGACAAGTGAAAAGGCAGTTTTAGAGCAAGAGCAGAGTGGATGAGCTCCGTGTGCTTTGTGGGGAGGAAGGAGTCTGTATGGATTGGGGTGGGCTTTCAGCTCTCTAGGCTGAGACTAGAGAACAGATAGGAGTTAGGCTAACGTGGAGGTGAGGGTGTTTTAGGAAGCTGGTTCAGGAAGAGAAAGGTCCTACAAATTGTCCGTAGAAAAGATACTTGGATCTTTTCTGAGGGTCAGTTGAAAGCTTTAAAAGAAGTTGAGCATCTTTTAATGTTCATTTGTCCTTTAGTCTCCTCTTGTGCTCAAGTGTTAAAGTATTTTTTGCCTCCCCCCCACCCCAGTTCTTTGTCAGTTAGGTGGGATGCAAGTCTTTTTCTACCTGGGTTGATGAGAGAGAGGAAGGAGTTGAGGTGATGTCAGTTTGAGTAAATGGCTATGAGATGTATGTCTGTGTGCCCTGGGCCTTCTCAATACTTAATTTTTTTGTAGTTTATTAGTCTTAATAATTATGGCCTCATGATGGAAAGAGCTGTGAGCAAGGCTTCTGAACACTTAAATCTGGCTTTTCAAAGCAAATCTTAGCTTTTTTATTTTTCACAATCTCATTTCAATGATAATTGTTGATTATGAGAAATGAGGACAGTAAAAATTTTTAAGTATGTGCCTTATACTCATTTGCAGACAAGGAGCAGTATTTCAGACCTTGATGGGTTTTTTTTCCCTAAGAGCCTTTAGTTAAAAGTAACTGTCTGCCCTAGCTGTAGGTGCCTTTCCTGATATTTTTTATACAGTTAAATCTATAGTAATATATTTCTCTAAATATCACAGCTAATATAGTTATTGTAAGAAAAGAATTCAAGCTTTTAACAAGTACCGTGGAGCTACAGACCTAAGTTGATTTAATCAGTATAATTAAAACTGGTATTAAATGAGGCTGAACATGTCATAATTTGGTCACTGGGAGCCTTTTTTAAGCTGGCTTTTATGACTTTTTTTCTTTGTATGTGTGTGGTGGTGGTGGTGATTAGGTTTGTTTGTTTATTTTTAATGGAGGTACTGGGGATTGAACCCAGGACCTTATTATGCATGCTAAACACTCGCTCTACCACTGAGCTATACCCTCCCCCTCTTTTATGACTTTTTAACATTACCTCAGAAATTTTGAAAATTCTTCTGTTCTGAGGACCACTGTCAATTCTCCCTGCTTCTTAAGCTGGTCTCCAAAGAACACTGTTTTGTCTTTTTTTTTAAGTTTCTTACAGACTTTTCTAATAATATTTAGGAAATATTATTAGAGGCCAGTTTGGATGATAATTTATATGGTCACCTTAGACTTAGTGCATAAGTGATGGGTGCCATAGTTACCTAAGCTGAAGGAAAGAAAGCCAGGCATATGGGCAGAGGTACAGGTAGCTGGGTAGGTATGATGGGAGCCCTTGGAATTAATTGCTCTGATTACTTCTCTTTTCTCAGTACTGTATTTAGTTATTTGAAAGTAGGGAAATTCTTCTCTAATCATTTACCTTGAGACGTAGGTACAAACACTGATAGTTTGGTTTCTAAACTTAGTTTGAGAGCATTTTCACATTTGGGAGGACTCAATGTTTATATAAACAAGTTTTTGTTAGATAAATCCAGTATCTTTTATTGTTTATGGAAGCAGATTCTAGCAGTACTTTGGTATCTACTGATTCTTTCTTAAAAAGTATACAGCCAAAAATGTTGCTTATAAATATCTGAGGCACAACCAGTAATTGACATCAAGGTTATGGGCTTAAGAAAGAGCAAAATAATGTGATTTTTAAAGGAAAAGTTATCAATATATCAAATACACATTTAGCTTTATTAACTCATTTTTTATATTTGTTTTTCGGAACCATCAGCTTTTCCTTTCTTTTCTCATTGTCTTTAAAATCCCAGGAATATAAAACACTGAAGATACTGTTTTAAGAACACTTGTAAGACCATAGTTGAATCTTATTTATACAGTATATCATAAGATAATTCCAATATTTTGGCATTTCAGCTTGGGCTTTCGGAGGACCCAATGGATTTTACGTTGCAAATAACCTAGAAGTAAAGTAACTTTTTGGCCCAGGTATTTTCAAATTGGATTTACATTGCATAGGGCTCGATGATCCTCGTTAATACTTAAAACACGGTCCTAGGTAGAAGAGGAAGATGTTAAAGTTATCAGAAAATGCAGCCAAATATTAATATGCAGTAAAATTAGTATCCGACTGTTTAAATAAAGTTTTAAGTAGAGCCAGTTGTATGCATCTATGTGATTTTGTAAGATCTCCTGGTTCTTACAAGGACCAGTGTATAAAAGATTGCAGATATTCGAATTACAGCACATTCCAGCTGTGAGCCCATGCTTACATTACAGTTACATATCTTTAATACAGTATTTAAGGTTGGTAAAAATCTGAATATTTGCATGGATTAAAATATATGTTCCTTTTATTTTGGCATTCTGTGGAAACTGCACAATTACCAGAGATACAAATTTTAAATTACCGGTAAGAATTAGTTTGCACACGAAGTTTCTTAAATTTTTTGTTAGCATTAAGTGAAGAAAAATTTTAAGTGAGAAATGTTTAAAATGTTTAGTTTTATTACACCATACATTTTATTACCTGTTTAATTCTCTTTTTGACTGGAAATCACTATTTCCTGGGCCAGAATTTTTCTTCTCTTTTCCTTTCCTTTTTTTTTTTTTTTTGAGTAGAACAACTTTGTTATTCATTGCTGTCCTCTCAATCCAGGTCCTTGGTTGTCACAGTTTCTAGGTCATAGAAGGGCCAGCATTGTCTTTGCTTAAGTCTTTAAGAATGTTCTGCCCTCCCTCTTGCTCTGTGAAGAAACAGCTTCAAGGCACCTATGTTTGAAAGGACAGATCAGTTCTTCTGTAACTTCCACATTTAGGACCATTCAAGTCACAGGGCTTTTTTGGCTGAGATGTGAGACAAAACAATCCTCTCTGTGGGAACTAGTTGTGTTGTCCTTTCCTTTTCTTTTCTTTTTTTTAAGTATAGTTGGTTTACAATGTTGTGTTAATTTCTAGTGTACAGCGTATGATTCATTCATTTATATGTATGTAAATAATATATATTCGTTTTCATAGTCTTTTTCATTAGGCTGTTACAAGGTGTTGAATAAAGTTCCCCTGGGCCATAATTTTTAAAGTTAACTTTAAAAGGTTTTAAACTTTTTTAAAGCCTTTTACTTTTGGAGGAAGCAAAATTTTTTAAACAATTCAGTTTATAATAACATTTTAGCTTTACAGATAAGGAGTGTATTTCAAAACTGATAGTGATTGTAATTAGCTTTTTATATATTTCTCTAGTGAGGATGTACATTTGTTTTTCAAATAAATATAAAGACATTAAATTTTTAAATTGGTTGTTTGGAAAGGAATCTATTCTAATCATTTTGAGACCTTTGAACACCATTTTACAGTGTTCTACAATTTGTACTACATTTGTACCAATGACAGTTTTAAAGTAACAGTAATCTTAGAAAGCTCAAGTTATTTCCTTTGGGATAAAAACTAGGATGATTAACTTACTTGTTAAAATAGTACCATTACATAGTACATTTTTTCCCCCACATGTCTTGGGTCTCATTTGGAAACCTGAGTTATTCTTTAGGATAGAAAGGAACTTTCAGGAGGCAGGTGTGGCTATCACATTTTTTGCTCAGGAATTTTGATTGGAATTTTGATCTAGGTGTTTAGTTTCTCTGGCAGCCCCCAAGACAACTGAGATACCCGCAAGTGCTTTGTTGCTTCATACCAGGCAAAATAGAATTCCATTATGTTCAAGGCATCCTGCTCCCTTGAACTTCAGATGTTACCACCAAGATGTTCATTTGTCAAAGCCTCTGATGCACTAACTTCATTCTAGAGAATTTGTAGCCTTTGTAGACGTCTATATAATGAAATAGCTAGTGTTGAGTTTAGCCATTTTTGTCCTTACCCTTAGTTCACACAGGCAAGAAAGTCATCTTCACTTTCACAAACCAAGAACACTTTGTAACCCTCACTCCATATTGGTCAGTTTCAGGGCTCATCTTGGGGAGGAACTGCCTCAAACTAGCCAGTGATGGGTTAAGGCTTCACTATGTACACACCAAAATCCATCTCTTAAGGGATGAAGGGCAGCCAGTCTTGACTGATGGGTATCCCTACTTGTTTCCCCTTCAGAAAAATGTGCCTTGTTCAACACACAGTTTGTAGCCTGATGTCTGAAGACTCTACAGCCAGAAATATGCTTCCTATGGGGTAACATGTTCATTGACATAACATGTTATTTGCTCCCTGGCCAATCTTCTAAAAGTTACTGTCAGAGTTCAGACTCAGAACTGAAAGTGTCTCAATGTAGACGAAGGTTATTTCCCTCATTTAGCAAAAGAAAAGGGTACAGCTTTAGGGTACTCTCAGGTACTTAGGTACAAAGAAATCATGTGATTTTTCTGATACCAGTGTGAGAGACTTTGTGGTTAAGTGGCTGCCTGGCTAAGTTAAGGGAAGGCCTGCTTGACAATTCCACACAGAGATAAGGATGTCTCCTGTTAATGGATATGTTAGTGAGGAGGAAGCACTTAATGATAAGTCTGAATTGTGCAGACCCAACTTCCTGTTTGAAGATGACCCTTGTGGTGAGTTTGACGGCAATAATAAAGTTGTGCAGGTCATGATAGACCTTGTAAATTGAAAGAAAAATGTACGTACCATAAAGTCCTTTGACATAAGCACCAGCTGAAGTCTTGCTCCTATTCTTTCTGGCATAGGAGTTCCCATGTTCACAATTATTTCCCTGATACTCACATTTTGAAGAAAGGAATACTTTAATTTTATGATTAGGTCTGATGAAAGTGGCCTCAATCGACTATTCCAAAGTGTCTAAAATACTCCTTTTTTGTAATGTACTTATTTTACTTTTGCAGGTATTCAGTGAAAACTTACGCAGGCTTAGAAAACCTTGCTGTACAGTGCTTGAGCAGGGTTTATCAGTTGTGGCCTTATCATTGCTGAGGGACTCTTCTAGTCTGCTAGCTGGATACTCCTCCGCCCTCCCCTTTCTCTCCCTTTCTCAGGAAACTGTCAGGGCTAAATCTGTTTTTGTGGAGATTGAATCTCCTGTTGATTCTGTAGGCATGATGTACTCACTATTTTGGTCATTTTAGGCAATTATCTCTTGACTTAAGTTTTTCCATAAAACTGGATTTTTAGGGACAAGTTGAGAGTAATAATGGGCTAGTTAGCTTTTGGAATATTTGGAATACATTGGAGCTTAACTGGAAACCGATTCCAAGCAAAGTCTAATGAGGTAATCAGCAAATTTACATAGTTGGTATGCTTGGTATTTTATTAATGCTTTGGGTCAGATCCTGTTTCTCATGTATATACACCATATTGTAGGACAGGTGTTACTTGTAATTTGGAGTGCATGTACAATGAGTATGCCTTTTTCCTGTTGTCAGTATTCTGTCAGAATTCTGCCAGTTTTTAAACTTTGCTTGATTCTGAGATAGTTTCCAACGTTAATACCAGGATTCATTATATTTGTGTTTGTCTTAATAAGCGTTGTGGTATTTGCTTGTCTTTAAAAATGACTTGAAAATCTGGTTTTAAAAAATCATTAATTCTAGAGTTTCTGTGCCTGAATATAAGTGCCAGAAAGCTTCAAAGTAATCTTAAAGATACCTTCTTTAGAATTGCTGATTTGTAGGTAATTGCCTTTAATGTAGCTTAACCAAATATTAACCAAATTATGTATTTCTTTTTGGCAGCAGTTCTTGTGACTTCTCACCAGGTGATTTGGTTTGGGCCAAGATGGAGGGTTACCCCTGGTGGCCTTGCCTGGTTTACAACCACCCTTTTGATGGAACATTCATCCGTGAGAAAGGAAAGTCCGCCCGCATTCATGTACAGTTTTTTGATGACAGCCCAACGAGGGGCTGGGTTAGCAGAAGATTATTAAGGCCATATACAGGTAAGAGAGCCACTCTGCAGATTGTATATGTGAGTGAGCACACACATACACATTAGTACAAGTATTAGTGTCTCCCATACAGTGAAATTAAGTGTATTTCATTCCAATAAATTGCAGGAGTGGTGTAGTGGAAGCTTCTAGCATGGGGAAAGAATAAGATGCAGTTGGTTTTCAGCCAGTTTGTTGTGTGAAGTGGAATTTTTATTTCTTTTCTTTGAGTGACTTACAGCAATATCATAGCCTTAAGGGGGGGGGATGACCTAATGATTTAATCTTGTGATTTGGACCAAAGTGCTAAATTCAGACATGAATAAATTGAACAGCATCTTAAAGGATCCAACAGAAAGACAGTGCAGTCAGGATGCATAGCATATACTGATCAGTGATACTCTGTGGGACAGATAGAGGTGCATGCTACCTTCAAAATCCTCACCTATGAGTACATCTGAGTTGAGTTTCACATCAGACTTGTGGAAACTTAACTTTCTCTTCCCAGGCTCAGCTTTATTTATCATAGACATTAGCGGTCCTGCATATATAGCTTCACTTGGACTGGGTGCACCCTGTCAGTCCCTTGAATTGTACAGTGCACGCACAGTGTGATTGCAGTCTGCAGTGCCTGTAACCTTGAGCATGTGCAAGTCTTTCTCCATTATCTTCAGACTCCGCAGGCTAGGATATTGTTGAACTCAGTATTTTGAGATCAGAATAGCGGTCAGTTTCCCAGAAACCTCTGGGAATCATGTTGCTCCTCATCCTGCAGGGCAGGGAGGGTACACTGAAGAAAAGTTAAGTCTACGTGGAAATCTGACATGCAGGATGGAAAGAGAATAAGGAAATTTGGTTCTGTCTTCGTCACTAATATGCTGTATAACCTTGGATAAACAAAGTAATTTGTTTTCTGATTTTGCTTGCATATATATAAAGTGAGAGAGTTGGACCAGATGATGGAATCTTTTTCCAGGACTAATTTTGAGATCCTAAACAAACCTGTGGCAAGATGACCTTAAAAAGAGATCAGAAAAGTTTACATATTTGTTGTAATTATTTTAGGAACTAACCCCTGTGCATATTGTACTGTCCTTTGCCCTTTAAACTTCCAAATTGTTGTAATACATATATGTGAATAAATCAGCAAAGAGGCATGGATGAAAAAACAGTAGGCCTTTGGAGGGGCCTGGTTTAGAGTTAGTTTGCATCAGAGGTTTTGGGGAATGATAGTAGACAGGTGGGGTGAGGAGGGGTGGTACAGCTGCAACAGATACTTTGGGAAAATTTTAGAGCTATCCTCAATGATTTTGATTATTGCAGTTTGTAGCTTTGGTGCAGCTCTTTAGAGAAATGAGAAGTTATAGCTTTGTTTTATTCATCCCATGAAAATTTCTAATCCTATGGAAATTTAGAGTGTCTCATCAGCTTTAGTATACAGAAAGAAGGAAGCAATGTAATGTTTGGATCTTTTAAATTTAGACAAATTATATTTGTTTTCCAATTACAGTTAAATTCAGGCAGAAGAAAATAGACATTCCTAGTTATGCGTCTTGGAAAAGAACTAAAACAATTCTGTACCATTAGACTTGTTCTACATTAGATCTTCTACATCTAACCTTTTGCTCAGTGGATAGAGTTGTCTAGCTATTTGGAATGAAATGAATAAAGGAAGAGTTTTACTTTGAAGCAGAGCAAGACATTTTGATGCAACTGTTTTGAAAAAATTTAACTCATTAAATAAAGTCTGAACTGGGTTAACCTCCCAGAATATAGGGTTCCTTACAGTAGGGTGGGTTTTTTTGTTTGTTTTGTTTTTTAAATATATCATATCTAACTGCCTAGGGAACAAACTTTAATATTGCTTCATTTAACTGACAGTGTAGTCTTTGTCTTCCTGAAGTAATTTTTTTTTTAAAGGGTCTCAGACTCCCCCTTACATTTCATGTCTTACCTAAATAGGTATGCCTAGGTATTTAGGGTCCGTAGTCCCAGGTCATCATGAGACTAATTGATCTGTCTATATCAATCAAAAATATTGGGACGTTAAAAATTAATACCTGATTGTTGTCATTCTAAAGAACAAGG